CGCCGTACATTTTCAAGAAGCTAATCGGCGTAGATTTCGTGTTTTTCCTGCAGCACAATTACCTAGACATGGGAAACCGCACGCTGAGTATTGAGGCGGTAAACGAAAGCTTCTCCTCACGCATCGAGATCTTCGAGAGGTGTCGCTACTACTCCCATCCTGACAATTCTGAATGGACGTGCTTCGATCAGACGGCCACGTTGGACATTAAAAACTTTTTTGGCTTTGAGCATTCCATGGAAAAGATGGGAATGAAACAGTACACCCAGACGACGCTCAAGGGTAAGGAGATAATTGAGTACTTCATTAGCCAGCTACGTGAGGAGGGTATCACACATGTGGACCGCTGGACACCACCGGCCGACGCTCCAAAGTCACCGGTCCTGGACCACGTTCCAGATCAGCATCATGACATTTTGCTCGACGGTGACTTCATCGCTCGCAGTCTAGGGCAACTCACGCCAATGCAGGAGTCCAAGCTGCTGGAGCTGCGAAAAATGCTTGATGGTGTCGATGACGTGGAGCGATCGCCCAGTTATCAGACCATCCTGCGTTTCTTGGCAGCCAGAGACTGGCATGTTAGTCAGGCCTTCGCCATGCTCTGCGATTCGCTCCGCTGGCGTCGTGAGCACCGCATCGACGCCCTGATGGAGGAGTACACCAAGCCAGCTGTGGTTGTGGAGCATTTCCCGGGCGGCTGGCATCACCACGACAAGGACGGACGGCCCGTATACATTCTTAGGTTGGGCCATATGGATGTCAAGGGCCTGCTGAAGTCACTGGGAATGGAAGGCCTGCTGCGTTTGGTAAGAATGCCGCATCCCTCCTTAGTGATCTGTCGAGTGAATTATCCTATTCTGGTTGATTTTTGCTGCCCAGGCTTTGCACATTTGCGAGGAGGGCATACAGAAGATCAACGAGTGCGCGGAGCGCCTTGAGAAGCCTGTGCTCAACTGGTCCTTGCTCGTTGACTTGGAGGGGCTGTCCATGCGTCACTTGTGGCGACCCGGTATCAAGGCTCTTCTATACATCATCGAGACAGTGGAGCGCAATTACCCAGAGACAATGGGCCGTGTTCTGGTAGTGCGTGCGCCAAGAGTTTTTCCCATTGCTTGGACTATTGTTAGTGCGTTCATCGGTGAGTAGCTGCGTCTTGTAGGTTTCGCACTCAATTTTAAATCTTTAACCAATCTTTATAGACGAACACACCCGCTCTAAGTTTTTATTCTATGGGCCCGATTGCGTTCACATGAAGGATGGTCTGGCGCAATATCTCGATGAGGAAATAGTGCCAGATTTCTTGGGAGGACCATGCAAGGTAAGCACCATAGAGATGCCTGCGATTCTGTGGCACGCCTTCGGTGTTGGGACTTCATGACTTGACTGCAGCATCTGTAGATTACGTACTTACTATATATATTGTTATATATTTCCGCCTCTCTCTTCCCGTCCGACTCCGGCTCAGTTAGAGGCCCAGCCTGTGTCGCTTGTGGAGCAAGTCAGTCAGAAATACTTTCGCCATTGTTATTTAGCCAAATGCAATTGTGTAAGCAGTTTCTTCAACTTTCGTTCTCTCGATTTTCATTCGTTCTGCTTCCGATCTTCTTTGTCACCAACAGTGGCGTACGCAGGACTTCATTGGAAATTTCGATATTGGGAGCTTATAACAGCAATATCATTCCTTCGTACGCCACTGGTCCTTCCACAACCACAAGAATATGTTAATATCTATAATCGTCAGCTATTGTCTTACTTCCTCGTTTTTGTTCGTCGCTTACACTTTGTTGTTTGTGCGTCTTTTGTGTTTGCAAAATGTGCAATGTCCATGTGAGCTTGTTAGCCCCCAGTTGTGCTCACCGTTCACATCAGTTTTTGCGTCCCTGATCTCTGTTTCACCCCAGAGGCTGTCACATACGTGCTTAGTCCTTATCACCGACCCTTGGATAAAGATTATCAATTGTTTTAAGAAAGTGCAATATTTTCCCACTACCAGACCATGATACATGAGGGCGGACTAGTTCCCAAATCGCTATATAAGATGAACTCGCTAGAAGAGGATCATGACGACGACGTGGCCGCCGTTGAGTTGCAAGCCACTGCCAGTGCTGCCGAGGCACTTGTTCCAGCCAAGCGCCTGTCCACAATTATTCAGCACGACCATAATAACTTATACAAGAGCGTAGAGCTAAAGGCGGGCTTCAGCCACGAGCTGCTTATCCGGAACGAAGACCCAAAGAGCGTATTGACATGGGACTTTGATGTAATGCGCAATGACTTACACTTCACACTATACCGAGTCACCCAGGAGCTGCCGGAGAAGAATGGTGAGAGCTCATTTATATGCGAAAATTTTGAAGCCTATGAAAGATTTTCTGTTTGTAGCTTATAATTATTTTATTTATTATAATATTCTATTAATTGTTTTAACACGCTTTTTGGTTAAAGATGCCGCCGTGTCGTACTTTGATCTGCAAGACTTCGTTGAGGGCGTCAACTATTTCCGGGAAGAGCCCACACTTATTTGCCGACACAAGGAGAGCGTCCAGGGCTCACATGTGATGCACCACAACGACAGCTATATAATGCACTGGTTCAGTCCCTCGGGAGCACAGTTGAATGTCTTTTACGAGGTACTTAGCTCTGTCAACTACAAGGGCTCCATGACAAGCCTGCAATCGGCCTTCTCCTCAAACTCGTCAGCGGCCAGCTCTGTCCAGAGTCGATGATATGAGACGAAGGAAGAGGGTGCGGCAAAGGGCGGCACCGATGGACTGTCTTCTCCATTGGGGGAGCCAGTGGAAGCGGATATGCTATCTGGCACGCTGATAGAAAAGAGCGTTAATCTTTCCGACACCCTTGATATTTTTTTTTAAGAGGAAAAGTGGCAATCTCTTCATTCTAGATTATTTTTGTTTAATTTAGCTAAATGTTTTTTTTTTAAGAAATTTATTTAGTCAGTTTATTATATTTTTAATATTTAAAATAATGTTCATGTATTGTTTGGCTGTAGATAAAAAGTTCAAAATGTTTCCCTTTGGATTAAAGTTTGAAAAAAATTGTCTAATGCATTAGGAATTCAAATTATGACTTTAATTTTTAATGTTTAAATAACAAAAGCATTACGAAAACGATTATTTAAAGGAATAAGGTAAAATGTAATGTATCCCGGAGATAAGCATTTTTGTATCACTATCAGTTTTTATTCCCGAATCGAACATATATTGTAAAAGAAAAATTGTAATATTTTGTTTGCTTAGTGTACTACCGTAATACTAGCTAGTAAGAATTTGCGTACCTCTTAAAACATTTGTATAGGTAAATTCTGGCTATAAGATTGCAACGAACTGATGGAGGTATTTCTGACATATTTAGCATTCTCATATTTAAGGATTAAATTGATTGAAAAGTCGGACAGTAGTTTTGTACAAGACCAGATATGCGAGTTAAGAAACGAAAAAAATTTAAATATTGACAGAAACAGAATGGCATTAAAAAAGATATATGCTTTCAAAGAGGTAAATACATATGAAGGTACATATATCCTTGGAAACCAGTGCAACTCACTCTAGGCGGGGATGTCGAAATTTTAAACCATGTTTTAATCCGTCAATTAGTCCATTTTAGCTAATACATTTATAAAACCAACAAAATTTTATTTTTATTGTAGTTTATACAAATTTTTTAACAATTGTCAAAAAGGAATTACTCCACATGTTCGCTATACTAACCGATGAACGCTAATAATAGGATTTATATAAATATATTTATCAATGACTACGTGTTACCTAATTAGTTTAACCTTCGGAAATAGAGAACCTTAGTTTGGACTAAAAATTAGCTAAATAAGCAAAATCGTTGTATACTATTTATAAGATATAAAATAATCAATAGCGTGACAACCGATCGTCTATACAAATAGCCAATAACGAAAATAGAGAACATTGCATGTTGACTAACTGTGTAAGTTGTAATAAGAACACAATCAATAAAGCCAATAAGATTAATTTTGCATATATTCATTTATCTGGAGATACGCAGGATTTGTTTTCAGATCTCCGGGGATGATAATAAACTAAACAAAATTTACAATTAATTCCGATTGTCGCTATGACTTTAAAATTAATTTAAATGGGTACTTAATTGGCAATTAAAAATTCTCAAAATCCCTTTACCTATATTAATTTTATTTTGAATATTATTTAGTCGGAAAAGTAGATTATAGTTTTTTTTTTATTATTGTGGGTTGCTGGACTTAAGTTTCATATTTAACCATTTTTTTTTTGAATTTTTCAAAATGTTACAAGGTCTTGTAGAATAAGAAAAATATTTTTAAAATGTTTATCGATAGCTGAATGGTTTCAAGTTCCCACCTCTATAAGAAGCAAGCAAATAGCATTCAACAAGAATTAAAAAATAAATTTAAATTCACGAGGGGTACAACTATTTCTATAATTTTTATAAGCAGCTGCTTAAACGGCTTAGCTCAACTGAGAAAGAACAGAAAGTAAAATTTATTCCCTTTTAACCAAGTTTCCCTCCATGGTTCGTGTAAAACGTTATAAAGGTCTCATTCATGATTTTAGTGTTGTTTTCTTTTGTTTTTATTTGATAGGAAATGAAATTTATGGGTTCCGTAAAAATAGAAGTGAAATCTTCAACTAATCGATCTAGTGGTCGTCGGTCAGTTTTATGGAATTTCGCCTCCACTTCGGTAGGTGTGCCTATCTTATCGGTTGGCGGATGTAATCCTCGAAACGGGTTGTCGGGCCCAATCATGAAGTGCGGATAAGCTGGTTAGGCTTATCACCGGGCGATTGGCCATTGCCGGCCAATTTGGTCAATAATAGTTTCGAGTGCCTTGACTTTCGGGCAGTTCGCGCCTGACGTTTGAAAAGTCCACATCAGACCCGTTCCCAGTCACAGAATTGTATTTAGACATGGTTGCATTGAGCACACAGTGAGTATGATTACCGCCCCCGCACCGCCTTCGTGAACACAACCAGCGAACGCCACCACCAGGGCAATGGCATTAGTGTAATGGCGAGCGCAGAGAAAGCAGGGGACGGCGACGGTGCTGGCGCCCAAAACAATCTGAATCAGTTACTGACCGCCCTGGGCGATTATTATAGCGGCCGCAAGGATGAACAGCACCCAGTCAACATCCTCGAGGACAAGCGGATCTTTCCGGAGTTCCGCGGCGGACCTTTGGACACGTACCGTCAGCGTGCGAGCTTCTGCTACAAGCGCATGAACGTGCTGCTCGAGGGTGAGGAGCATATTCGCCTAAAGGTAATTATAGTGGGTTGCCGCGGCGATGGGGTCAAAGTACAAGCTTCTTTGTAAAGTCAGTTCTCGTATCGGGAGCTGCACCCGTTGGCCCCATCTTATCGCACCATTACGCTTATCTGCGTCTTGAGTAACTAACCTGATTACACGCCGCCCCTCCCTGTGCAGCACAAGGTGTGGCAATGGATGGAGCGCCACCCCGACTTCCAGCGAGAGCCCGAGGCGCCCGGCCTGGAGCGTACCCGGGAGTTGGCCAACAAGAGGCAGCATCTGCTCTGGGAGCAACAGTTCTATGGTGTTAATGAGGTGGGTTTAACACGTTTAATTCGCCAGTTAGAGAAGTTATTAATGGATACACTTTCAGTACCTGGGAACCCCGCACTTGCTATTGGCCTTCGGTCAGGCCATCTTTAGCTACGACTTTAGCACGTCTGTGAAGTTCGGCCTGTCCACGGGTATGTTCCCCAGCACCCTAGTCTCAAATGGATCCGGTCGCCTGGGCAAGTATGTGGCTAAGATCGCCGACAATCGTATCTTGGGTGCTTACGCTCTCACCGAGATCTCGCACGGCACCAATGCGCTTGGTATGCGCACCCGCGCCACCTACGACTTAAAGAGGCAGGAGTTTATCATACATACGCCGGACTTCGAGGCGGCCAAGTGCTGGGTGGGCAACCTAGGCAAGACCTGTACCCACGCAATTGTGTACGCACAGCTGTTTGTTCCAGATGACAAACACCAGGGATTGCAGGTAAGATACATACATACACTACATACTCTCAAATTATTACCAATGATATTTGCCAAACTTAACTACATTTTCAAGTTTGCATATTTTTATTAAAACCTAATCGGATTTCTATATAAATTATTTTTCACAGGCCTTCCTGGTGCCCATTCGAGACGAGCGTACTTTGCTACCCTTCCCCGGCGTTACCGTGGGTGATTTGGGCGAAAAGATCGGCCTCAACGGCATTGACAACGGGCAAGTTTTCACCTGCTGCTTTTATTGGAAACCAATGTATTTAAATTTTAAGTTTTTATTGCAGCTTTGTTATGTTCAACCAGTACCGTATTCCAAAGGAAAATCTCCTTTCCAAGACAGGCGACATCGACGCACAGGGCAACTACACCAGCCAGATTAAAGACGAGCGCAAGCGACTGGGTGCTTCGCTGGGCGCCCTATCCGTTGGTCGCGTCAACATAACAGCCATCACGTACGTGGCCCTCAGCAAGGCGGTAACTATTGCCACTCGCTACGGAGCAAGCCGGCGGCAGTTCGGGCCACCCAACTCTACGGTGGAGTGGCCAGTGATCGAGTATCAGTCGCAGCAGTACCGTCTCATTCCCCATTTGGCCACAACGATTGCTCTGCGTGTGGCCACGCTGTGGATCGGCAAGGAGAATGTTGATCTGACAATGAAGGGCTTTACTGGTGAGGACACTTCGCAGGCGGGCATGGAAATTCACGCCATATCGTCGGCCCTCAAGCCAGTGGCCACCTGGGCGGCCAGGGATGGCATCCAAGAATGCCGGGAGGCATGCGGAGGCCATGGATACTTAAGATCTTCGGGTTTGGGTGACCTGCGAAACGATAACGATGCCAACTGCACCTACGAGGGCGAGAACAACACACTTATCCAGCAGGCATCGAATTGGCTCATTAGCCTTCGTCGTAACAACGCCGACTTTGTCGCTGTTTCACCTCTGGAAACAGTGTCATTCCTGCAAAATATGGATGCCCTGCTGCAGAGCAAGGGCCAGGAGCGTACACCAGCTGAGGCCTTGGATCCCAACAGTAAGTATCCTACATCAGCTATTCCCTAAATAACTTAAGCAATTGAATGTGTTATGAGAACTTTTTGAATATTAAAGAAAATTGCATTGCTTTGCAGATCTTCTAAAGGCGCTCAACTGGCTCACTGCTTGGCAACTGGAGACTACTGTAAAGCGAGTCGAGCAGCAACAACGTGAGGGTAAGGATGCTTTCGAAACGCGCAACAACATCCAGGTCTTTGCGGCCCAAAAGCTTTCTCTAATCTATGGCGAGGTAATTCTACCAGCTCAGTATGCACCTCTTTACTTTAATTCAATTCTTTTTTAAATCTCTAGCGAACCATATATTACGTGTTCTATAAGTTTGTGACCAACTTGCCCGCCTCGGCGAGAAGGAGGTGCTACAGCAAGTGCTCTCGTTTTATGGAGCTCATTTGGTCACCAAGTATTCCGCCATTTTCTACCAGGGCGGCTTCTTCCGGGACAATTCGCATCTGAATTTATATGAGCAGGGAATTTTGGGTCTGCTATCTGTCCTCAAGGATGAGGCCATAGCCCTGGTGGATGCAATTGCTCCTACCGATTTTATTCTGAACTCGCCTTTGGGCATGAGTGATGGCAATGTATGTAGTCAAAATCTCTGCCAAGTATATCTTACATTGTCTTATAAATATGAGTATTTCTATTTATTCTCTGCAGGTTTACCAGCATCTGCAGCGCACGATTGTGTCGACCCCGGGTGTCTATGAACGTCCCCATTGGTGGCGTGATGTTACCTACAAGGATTACCTCAAGCGCGCCAAGTTGTAGATATGCAACTACATGACTGTGCTCACAAAGTTTACCTTGTTATCGCTGTACATTTAAAAGTTATTAATGTACCCACTATTATAAAGGGTGCCTATATAATTAATGAATCCTTCATATGAAAACATTTTAAAATGCTCTATGGCTTACATTCCAGCTTCTTTAAAATGAGGCGCAGGATTAGCCCTTTATAGTTTGTACTTAAGTTTGAACAAACGACTTAAATATTAAATACTCCCAACATCACAGACATTTTTGTACGTATTGCAAAGCAATGATTAATAAAAATTTGTAGATCTTTTTAAAACTTGTTTGTACATTTCTATTAAGGGGTCAAATTTCCTTTTACATTAGAACACATTTATTATTTTGTGCATTGTTTACATGCTGTTTTCCAGCGTAAGATTTACATGTACAAATTTTGGTTACGTACTTAAAGTCTAAAGATGATCACAGTCTGCAATTGTCACTATTGTTACTTCGTTGAACAAGCTACATTCACATACACAACAGATAAATTGTTTGCTAATTTAAATAATATAGAACAAGAGAAAATAAATATAACACCTTGCTAAGATCGGAGTGGCGTCCAGCCATGTGTCAGGGAATAGATCCAGATCCGGACTCATAGAACTCCGGCATTGGTGCGCTTTGGGACAAGTGCGGACTCTGTAGCTGGGCCAGGCGCTCACCGGCTTCGCTTTCTGTTTGGATGAGCATAGGTATCTGCTGAGGTAGGTCGCTGGTAGCCCACAAGTACAGATCCAACGTCTTTTCCGTACAATCAGCTATAAAGCGCACGAACGGCCGAATGTCGCCCTCGTTGGCGAGCTTAAGGAAATGATAGTACTTGCTGCGTTGCTGCTTCGGAATGATAACAGGCGGGTAGCCAGCTCGCATTAGAAGCGTGTTCATTAACAGACGTGAAGTACGTCCATTGCCATCAATAAAGGGATGAATATGGACCAATTTGTAATGGGCTAAAGCAGCATAGCTTTAGAGGGAAGGACAATTTTGGTTCATAATCGCCAGTCAGTCATCTTTAACACACTTACTTGACGGGATGTAGAGTACTGCTATGCTCTGAATTCAACCAGCGCTCGAAACGCTGCATAAGAAGTGCCAGATCTCCCGGGCCTGGGGGCACATGGCCCCCGACGTACACCTGATTACGCCTAAATTCTCCGCCTTCAATGGGGTCAACATGTCCCAAAACTCGTCGATGTAGCTCGAGGATATCTTTTATGGTAATTTCCATCCTGTAAAAAAGGCATAAAATTATTTAGCTGAACAAAGCACAATTTAAGTCATAAATGAAGAATCTTACTTTTGAACCAGACTGGCATTAATGTATTTCATGGCAAGATCCATGCCAAGGATCTCATTGTGCTCATCAATTGACTTGCCATCGACAGCCATTCGTGTCTCAAGGATGGATCGGGTTTGGGCCAATGTCATAGTGTTACCCTCGATGCCCACAGAGTGGTAGATATGCTGGAAGTAAGCTTCTTTTTTGGCCCTCCGTAGGGCAGTGCTGGACTCATGAATGGCGGAAAGGGCATCCCGCTTAAAGTCCAACGATTCCAGACGGCGTTCGTCAAGCGTCTGGACTACGTCCGCCGTGCGCTGCCTGTTCGCTAGCGCTTCAGAGTTGCTCGGATTGATGGTTAGGGCCTGGAAGTAAAACTGATCCGCCAAGACAATGTTGCGCTGGTTGTGCTCTAGGAACTCGCCGTAGCGCAGAAGAACCTCAGGGTGTCGGGGTGCCAGAGCCAGCGCGTGCTCAAACAGGCGGGCCGCCTTTTCATCCTTGCCTGCCAGGTACATGTCCTGGGCCAGCCGAAGAGCTCCCAACGCCTCGTTGATGTTTGTCTGCTCCGCTTCCGAGAAGCTGGCACCGACGCTGTCGCTGACGCTCTTATCATAAAACTCCTTGAAAGCGTTAAGCTCTTCCACGGAGTACAGGGCGAACTCGTCACGCGTTTGTAGATAGTGGGCCGATGGCAGGTGGTGCAGCTGCCGCAGTCTCAGGCCCAGATTCGAAGACGTCAGGGCATGCAAGGAAATGGCCGCTAAGCTGCCGGCGATGAAGAACAGGACAAGACGGTAAGGATGGGTCTGCTTCGGAGTTCTGGCTGGTTCAGCTGCCTCTTGCTGCAGCTCCTTGATATTCGGGCCCCCCATGCCGACGTGGCTTCTGCCAGTGTCTGGTAAACGCAATTTGTATACACTTGGACGTCAGGTACACATGGTACGGCGAAATTACACGCTGACAGCCTGCGCTATTTATATTTCCAATCTCTTTTGCTTGCCATGCTGAAAAATCACCAAAAACCACGTATTAGTGCTGCCAAATTACTATCGATGTTTTCAAAAAGGTAAATTATCGATAGTCGAAATGTTCACGGCAGCTGGCCTTACCTAACTTCCTCATGAACGGCTAAAAATTATAAAGTTTTTTATAAAAAATATAATACACATACTTTTAGTTATAAATAAGATGTAAAATATCACAATCATTTGTATATATTTGCATTGATTAGAGACTGCAAAAATATCGATTGAAACAGCTTCAAAAAGGTAGAAAAATTCGGAAAGTGAAAAATGTAGGCTTTTGACGTAAGGAAATTGCATTGAATTCTTGTTTTCATTCATAAAATTGGTTAGATGAGTGTTCAAAACACAAATTTAAAACAAAAAATTTATTTGAACAATATATAAATCGAATATGGTTGTTGTAACTGACCGTGACCTGCACCTCTCAGAGTGGGGTATGCAACTTTTAGACTTCCCAAAGTTAGATAACTTTTGACAATATTTCTGAAATTTCAAAAATTAAATAAATAAAATAAGTTATTTATTAATAGAAAATATACCTAAAAAGTATACATAAGCAAATTACATATTAAAATTTAATTACACCAACAAACTCAAAATTCAATTTTTTATGTCATCAACCATGAATGTTAATATTTTGGTTCCATTTTTGTTTAAGTTCAAATTATTGTATACATATTTTAAATTGTTTGTTCAGTTTTGAGGCAAAGGGACATATATTTGCAAAGGTCCGAAAAATGTTGGAGTTAGTGCTCTCAATGGTTTTATTCTCTGCAATCCTAACGAAATATTTATTTTACAAAACGTTAATTTACCAAAGTACCAGTCAATGAAATAAAAAAAAAACAAAGTTTTCAAACAAACAAATGATACTGATTTTGATTAATTCTGATGATGCGATCGCACACCTTCCCCGTAATCGTGCGCTCATCGATCGCAAGCGGAGCAAGTGATCGCTGTACCCAAATAATGTTTACTCATTGCAGAGCTCCTCCTTCCTCTCCCTGATTCACACTAATTAGGCAAGAACCGGAAATAGCTCAAAATTGACATTTCTTAAATAATTTTGAACTTTCAACCCTTAGGCGCAAATATTTAATCTTCCAAAATTATGCCCTCTAGCGTAATGGGGCTGGTAAGAGTTTTTCAAAGTGGCACTTGAAAAACTTTAGTTCTGTGTACGGGGATTTCCATTGCGGAGAATAGAGTTTGAATATTGTGCCTAATCATTATGCGGTTGACTGCTAATTAGTACCCGAAATCGTTCAATAAATGAAGTTTCAATTTCTTAGAATATTGAAATGACAAAAGCTTAAGGTCACGTCATTTGCATATGTCTTACCAAAAATGCTTTGAGTCACAGCAAGCAAGCAAGTCCCAAGACACCCCTTAGCGAATGCATATCGCCCTCCTACGTGTAACACAAGGCGCTATCTATCACTGTAGCCAATGAGATCACGCAATTGTTTATTATTTTGATCTGAGTGGAACCGAAAATATAGAAGATCGGAGATCCGGTGACCGGCTTGTGAATCACCTGCGGATACTATGAAGTCATTGAGAAATCTGGTTATCAGCCAGAAGCCTTCTGTTGGTGGGTCATGACGTAGCCAGTGATCTCCGCCGATATTCAACTTTTTGGCAATTCCCTCTTACGATCTGCTGCTATTCTGTTCGAGTGATAACAGACTACTCGCCAGTGTGTTTATGCGATGACCAATTTCATGGAATGCTGTTGACTAGAAATTCCGACACAACTAGTAAAAAATACCGGTCTGGCGAATCTAATGCCTTAATCGATGATTTTTATTTAGAATATTATGAGAATACTCACATATCACCGCATGAACATAGTTGTGTTTCTCCCCATCAGTTGATCTTGCTCTGGACGATCTTCTCATAAAAGCTTCGAGCTGAGCGATCGGCTGTCAGTTGCTGTTCGGCAGCGCCAGAAGGCGCAACGGTTTTTCTTTCAGATCTTTTTTCAAAATACATCGGCATTTATAGTGATTGAAGTGTCCTGAGCCAAATAAAATTACAACTGGTCTGCTACTTACATGAATAGAGATTCCTTTTGAATAGTGAAAAGTGAATAGCGGTGTAAGTGATTAGAATAGTTTGGTTCTTTGATAATTATGTGTCGAGAACAAACGGATAAGAAACAACTTGTGAAAATATTTATAAATAACCTGCAACAGACTGCAGTGGCTACACAAATGTGTTCCAGAAATAAAAAAATACTAAATTGGGAGAACTCATGTAACTCATGTACCACACGGTGTTGACTTTTTAGAATTCGAAAGCCAAAGGAAATGTGTGATCTTGTGGGGGTCGGGTCCCAGAAAATTACACGTCGCCAAGTCCATGAGACTTATCAACAGACACCGGATGGAAAGGGAATTTGGGGTCACCTAAGGTTAATGGTTGTCAAAAAAGAAACAAATAAGACCAAAATTGAACAGTGAGCCTCAAATTAAAGTCGTTTTGTCATGGGCGGGACCGGGTAGTATGCGCATTATCTCTTGATTAACCTTTGGCGACCCATAGTCCGGAGCTGGTCCGATAATCCGCTGATACAGCCTGAACTAGATTTCACATCGCCAGTTATCAGCACCGAAAATTCTCGGACTTGGGCACAAAAATAATTTCAGTTTTCTGCGAAGCTTTTTTTTTCTACTCTAGTATTTACTATTTATGAATGACACAGTTTCTGTTTGCTTGTTGCTCCGCAGATATTCCGGCATGAAGGCTCTGGGAGTGTGCGCCGTGCTGTTGGCGGTCGCCAGCTGCCAGGGCTATGGTGGTGGTTATCAGAGATCCAGCTACAGCTCTAGCTCCATTCGTCTTCGTCATATGGCAGTGGACAGTCCTTGGTAGTCCCGCAGATCAACCAATGGGGCTACGCACACTTCAACGAGGTCCGCGAACTTGCTAACCAACTGAAGCAGAAATTCAACTCCCTTTCCCAAGGATCGTCTAACTTTGGCTATACAACCTCATGGAATCGTAAGTTTATTTATATCATTGACGGAAAATACAATTAAATCAGTGCTGGTCAGTGCTTATTTTGGGTTTCTTAATTGTGAAATTTAAATTGTCTTCCCTTTTCTTTGTACACACATTAATAAATTAATACCAGAAAAAGTATAATTTAAATTTGTATATTAATTTTTGAATTTTATTAAATCGCTTAACTTTAGTATTAGTAAGAAATAATGCACACTTAAAGAATAATAATTATTTTTATAGCGTTATTTTTGCTTTTTACATAAGTTCACATATTACTATTGCGGTTTCTTTATGACAATTTCTGTAAATTTAAACCAAAATTTTCCTTTCCAGCTGATGTTTTGAAAATTAGTGGAAAGAGCGGAAGCCAGCTAGATGCTGTCATCTCGGAGATTAGCCAGAAGTTGGTGGCAGACATGCGCCAGGGCATCACCAGTTATAGCACCATTGCACAGCCCAACTTCTTTGAAGCAAAGGCCGCCGATCTGCTTGAGCGTTTTGCCGGAGGGGAGAGCGCCAGCCTTCAGCAGGCTGTGGGCCTGGGTCCCTTCCAGCCGGTGGACTTGAGTGGTTTCGACGAGGTCAAGAACTACGCCTACCCCGCCGAGGTGAAGGTAATCGATGGCAAGACCTACGTCGTGCACCGCAATTGCACTGAGGCCACCAAGTTGTCTGGCTATGGCGGTTCGAGCCAATTGAACCAGGGATTCCTTGGACAGGGCCAGACATCCATTCCGCTCGGCAGCACCACGACGACGGTCACGCGAAAGAAAACTATTCACGACTGGGTCCGGGAGAACATGGAACCGTCCGTGGTCGGCTACAACTCGGTTGTTAATGTTGGCGGGCAGGAGGACAATAGGGCATATAACTCACCAATGTCCAGCCCCAGTTCCTTCGGACAGATTCACTCCTCGTCGCCAGGAGCCAGTTCGACACTATTCATTCGAAGCTTTAACAAGACGATCACAACTCATCCGGATGGAACTAGCTCCGTGGGTGGCTCTGAGTCGCAGCAGCGCTGGCAGGATGGGAAGTTGGTATTCGATCAGCAGGTGCCCTTTGGGCAGACAGCGGTGCCGAGGGACGAGCAGTGGAAGCGCGAGGAGCGCGAACGCCTCTTCTGGTATCTAACTACTCCCCAACGACTTGAGGACTGGCAGCGCCAGCAGGAGGACCGCCTACTGGGAGTTGTCGAGCGATACAAGATCACCTTGCCTATGCTGGAGGAATTCCATCGCCGCGAGCTAGCTCGCTTCCAGGCCTTGTCGCGGCAGTACCAGTCACAGGTTCAGGACGCCAGTGCCTGGCAGAGACAAGAACGTAGTCGCCTGGATTGGCTCATCCACCAAAATGGTTTTTCGGCTCAAGACATTGAGCGTTGGCAGAACGAAAACGACCGCAAGTTGGCCCAAGTGGCCCAACAACACGGAATCAACAAGAATCAGCTTCAGCAGTGGCAGCGGGAGGAGCTGCAACGTATGCACACCCACTTCAACCAGATTAACCAGTCGTTATCGCCGCAGGTGCCAAGTGTGCCATCTCAGAACACATACTCCTACTCATCCTCCAGTTCCCTGACGGAGGATAATACAAAGGAGCAACAGCGGCTGGAGGAGCTTATTCGGCAGCACAACGCTACTATTGCTGCTCTGCAAAACTCCATTTGGACCGACCAGCAGCGACTGAAGGACCTCTCGGTTAAGTATCAGGGCGATATGCAGAGCCAGACACAGTGGTTGCGCGGGGAGGTGGCTCGGATCGGTGACCTGATCAAGGACCAAAACGAGCAGGTGTCAAAAATTACCGCCTGGCAGAGCTCAGAACGTTCTCGCCTGGAGAGCATTCTACGTCAGCATCGCGGCTCTGTGGGGGAACTGCAGCAGCAGATAAACCAAGATCGCACGTACCTTCAGAACCTGGCCACCAAGTATCGAGTCAGTGTGGAGGAGCTGGAGAAATGGCAGCACGAGGAGCTGCAGCGTCTTCAGGTGAATGGTCAGAAGCAGCTG